GGTCAGATCACTCTAGAAATGTATACAAGGCCCCCACCGGCGCATTTCGTGCCAATGCAGCACGCTCTTACATATGGTACTTTCCGGCAAGCAAGGTTTTTGGGTCTAAGTCCTTTTTCCTGGGCTGAGAATCTGGGACTTACCGAACAGGGAGGATCCCCATGTATTGCAGAATGATTCGCAGAATGGTTCTGGTGGCCGAACGGCGGATTGGGGCTGGTTGCAAGAGCGCACGGAGGTCTATGTGAAAATACCTGCTGTGGAAGAGATTCCATTGAAGGTGGTCCGGGGTTTAGAGAAGTTCCCACCAACCACTTAGCTATTTCCCGGACCATCTGAGCAATGAACCCGAACATCCCGGGAGTATCTAGCGGACCTCACCCAGGCTATTTTGTTGGGGGTTATTTATGCGCCGTATTTAGCCCAAGATGAGCTCCAACGACACGGCATGTTGTTTTCTGCATCAATGCTGGGGGCACAGCGAGCAAGGTCTCTTTTGGAGTCTTCATTGCCAGTGAATGATGTATAGAGGCGTTCTTACCAATCTTGGCAGAATCCTCCACTGCCTCAAACCTCTCTTATTCCAAAAGGGCCTGGTTTCCAGCTCGCCGTTGGATATGTTGGGTCGACCGAGGGTTGCGGCTTCTTCCCTCAAGGTGTAAAAGTTTTTGCCCAAGGGCGCCGGACCCCCGGCGAGCCCCCCTTCCCACAGGCAACCCACGGTAAAACCAAGATGCGGACACTACTTTGAGGGGAACACCAGACAAAAAGGGAGTGCTGTACTAACCGCGCAACTCCACCAGATTCCTTCAAAACCCATTCAAACCGGGACCCTCCACACTTTAAATGTTTGGCAGCTTGAATACAACTCAGCGCATTGGGGATCGTTATCAAGACTTGCGAGCCCCTCAGCCAGTTGCTGTTTTTTTTACATACACTTTACCCCAAAAACCTGCAACAGTGAGTGAAAAAGCAGCAACTTGGCTATCTAGGTAGGGAGGAAGCTAAAGTGCCCCCCACTCCCGAGGAAAGGTTCGGAACGAACCTCTGAAAACCGCTGTTCCGGTGTTCGGCACCCTGTCAGGTCACGGGAAAACAGGGAAAACAGGGAAAACGGGTCACGTCCCCGGGACGGCTGTCCCGGACTTCTTTTTTTTCACCAAGCCCCCAGAGGGCAGCCTCCCCCCGGGAGCCGATGGTTCAGCTCGCTAGGAGCCTCTTCCGGCCCTGCGGAAGATGAACAACCCCAGGTGGCGCAGGCCATGTCTGGTTTCAGTTGGCAACCATAGGGAGCCATAGCAGGCGCCAGGAGGCCGATTGGTTGAGCAAAGATGGGATTTCCGTGGATTTTTGCTGGTCGAGCTTGATTCGTTTTCGCTTGTGGCATCCATTTGTCCAAAAGGGCATCTGAAAGCTTCCCGGACCGAGTGATTCCGTTGCATTGCGCAGCCAAGGCCCCTTTCAGTTGTCATGTCCGCCTTGACGTCGCGCATCCAAGTGATCCCCCATGTTTGTTTTCTTTGAATGTCGGTGTCTTGAAATGGTTTGGTGGACAGCCGCGGTACATGCCCTAAGCAGGGCTACTGCTTTGGCCAGTACTATATGATCAAAACACAAGGCTAGAAAATGGTCAATGGTTTCTTTGGGTCTCCCTTCACAAGGGACCACGCTCCGATCCTTGTGCTGCTCTGGTCTTTGCAACACTGCCACAAGAGAAAAGTTTTCTCCGTGGGTTCAGTCTGGCACCGAAACACGAAATGGTTTGGGATTGGTATGCCAAACTGACCCCCAAAAAGCGGCAAGACCCCGCCCGAGTCCGCCTGTCCAGCCCAGTGTGAGTGGTAGGGTTGGGCCAACCATTGTTTCATCACAGTTAAGCAACGTTTGTTCAACCAAGCTCCTTTTGGTTTCCCTTCAAAGGTGGTCAGGGCCTGATCGTTTGAACAAGTTCTGATCCAGAGAAAGATGCCAAAGCACCGAGGGGTTTGGTTTGTCAGCCGTTCCTTGCTTTTTTTGGGGTAGGAGTTCCCTTGCAATTCATCCGCCCACACCAAGCCAGCAAACCACCCACACACCACGAACCCACTTGGCTTCCCCAGATCGGCAAGCAAAGAAGCGGCAAGCCCTTCGGGTCTTGTTGGTCTTCCAGATGACCACCCACCAACCCACCCAGATCAAGAAAAGAACCGGCAGCCCTTCGGGTCTTGGTCTTCTGTACCGATGGATCCCTTCACCTTCTCTTCGCACCTGGACTCGCCGGCTTGGCAGGCCCAAGAGCAGCTCCGACGTGACTCGCTACGCAGAAGCGCGGGGGAGCTCGACGTTCTCTCGCGGACTCGCTCCGACTCGCGCTGGCGCTCGATAGGCAAAAATTGCGGGGGGGGGGGGGGATGTGGGGGTGATGCTAGGGGACATGGATGGCTTCAGCTGTGGTTTGTGTCAGCCGAAATGCTGCTGTTTCAGCAGCTGGGCTGGATCCCCACGAGTTGGTTTTCAGCTGAAACCGAAACCAGCATGCAGGCTGTTTGAGTTTAGAATTCAACTCGTTTGCGATTCTAGGATGAGAGATCCTGCAGACATCCATCCTAAGCTGTGTGCTGGTGATGCTATACATGCTGGGGATGCTGGGTTCTGGGATGCTGGTGATGCAGGTAATGCCAAGGATGTGTGTGATCAAGTGAATCAATGCTGGTTCCCGGTCGAGCCAGTGAGAGCGAGCGCCTTTCGAGGTATCCTAAAGAGAAAGACAAAGAAGAACAAGAAGAACTGGTTCCCCTTTTCTGGCGCTCTGAGGTTCTACAATCTGAATGGCTGCAGCCCCTTCGCCTTGGCCGCAGGGAAGTGAGCGGGCCAAGACTCGGTTGGCGGTTTTCGGCGGGCTGGTTTTATTCACAACCAGCCTGCAAAAACAAAGCAACTGTTGGAGGGGCCCCATGTTCACAGAAACCCCGTAGAGAGAAAGCATGTTAATGTTAGAACCTGACTAGTGAACCCCCTCTGAGCAAAGACGCCCAGTTTTCCCAGCCAACTGCCAGCCAATGCTACTTTAAAGGCGCCCACAAGGTTTGGCCAGAATACCCTGTCAAGGTTTTTTGGGGCCTCTCAGAACCCCATCTGATTAGAGACGCCCCTTTCCGGCCCAAAACCCAAACATACTAAACACATACATGTTCAATTACCAAAGCTATTGCCAACACTTTTGCTAATGCCTACTCCTTTCATAGTCTCAAGGGTTGCCATTCCAGAAATCAAAAACACTGCTAGCCTGAAACCAAGTTTCTTATTGCAATTTGTTCTATCAACAACAAGGTTTGACAAGCTCGTACAGGGTAACCCCCTTCAAGGCTAAGCCCCCCCGAATAACACAAATCCCCGTTTGATTCATCAACGCCTTGGGTTCGCAAGAAGCTGCCAGACGGCCCAACCGCCTATCCGAGCCGAGCCGGAAAAGGCGTGGACCGGCCAAGAACGAGCGAAGCGGCAGGGCTCCGTTTTTGGTTTGTTTCTGTTGTCTTTCTTTTTGCCGGATCGCTCTTTGGATTCCGGTCGAAACCGATTCGCAGTTTGAATAAAGTGAGTATTGCAAACAGGTGGTGTCTGGGTGGTGGCATTTTCCGCGGATTCCTGCTGAACCATTGAATCTTGTATGCTCCCAAGGAATGGCCTCCCCGCGAAGCGTGGGTTGCGCCAATTGGGGGCACCTGGAATCAGGTGCCCTTTTGAGGGATGCGATCTTAAGTGCGCCGAGCTTGCTCAGTTGACATGGGCGTAGCGTGGAGGTTAAACAGGGTGCCGTCTTCGGTTTGTGAGTTGGCAACCTGCAAGATTCTGCAGGTTGCCAAAGGATTCAGCTGTCGCAGGGTGTGATTGCCAAACCCGAGGGAGGGCAAGCAACTTGGTTTGTCCAATGGGGAGTGTTGCTGACCCATTCGTCAATCTGCCGGACTTCTATGAGAACCTCTTGGGCCCTAAAGTGAAGGAATCCCCTCTCAAGTTGACCCCCTAATTATTCATCAGCCAGGGGTCAATGAACGCTATAAGGATTGGACTCTTTTTAAGGGCTTGGCTTTTTCAGGGACAGCCTCCGCCCCCTTGGTCCAGGACATTTTGAAGGGCACGGTAAAGCCAGAGGAATTTTGGCTTTCAGAAGCAAATGTTCAGTGATTCGGATATGCGTGGTCTGTCCTAGTGACTCCATGGTAGGTCTGGTCAGCCACCGGGGACTGCAGATGAGTTCTGCAGTTTTGATGGGGAAGCTCGTTGAAAACGAACAAACATGTCAGGCGGGGGGGGGGGCGGGACCTTTGTTCCCCATGTATGGCGATTGAGAGTAAGGGAACAGCCTCGCCTGCGCTTGTTTCGCTGGCGGGATTGGCGTTTTAAATATCCAAGGTGCCGAAGGGATGAAATACGACCCGCCAAAATGGAGGAGGAGGAGCTTTGCCCTTGACCTAACAAAGGTCAAGATCGAAAGCTTCAAGTTGAGTGAGTCCACGTGCAGGCAGGACCAGGCAAGACCTTGCAGAAGTAAATCATAATGAGTCCACTCTGGTCTGTTTTGCCTTTTGCGTCCTTGGCCTCTGACAGACGTCCATTGCTACTCCTGGGCCCCTTCTTTGTTTTACGCTATGCAGCAGGCACTGGTTCAGGGAGTACGACTGACACGAGAGCAAATCGGCAAGAAGTTCGCAGAGCATATTGCCGGACACCTCGCCTCACAGCCAACTCTACTGAAACAAGCACGAATGGTTGTTTTTGTTTTGAGGGCACCCCTGTTTTGTGGTTTTCAAGGGATACCAAAAGCAAAGCCGAAGCCATGTGGGGGGTCCAAACCAAAACAAGACACACCCCTCTGAGCTTTGGTCTGTCCGTCACCTATGGCCGAGCTCTTGGCTTCCCTGGGCCTCGACGACTCATCGTCCTCGGCCATCTCTGCTGCCTCGGCGCCGCGGCCGACGGCCTTTTTTGCCGGTGATTCCCTCGCAGCGTCCGCTTGATGTCGACCCACATGTCACCTGGAAGAAAGGAATCCCAACTAAAATTTGGAAACCCCTGAACAAGTTGAATCATCACGGGTAGATATTGTGCAGGTGCTTGGATGTTTGCTTTCAGATGCCTCTGGATTGCCTTTTGACCTTCCGTTTTGCAATTGATCCTACGTGAAGGCCTACCATTCAGCCCCCACCCAAATCCACAACGGGGCGAGGGGAGGGGGGGTCAGGGGTGCAACAGTAAAGCTGCTCATGCGGTGGTTGAGTGGAATCCACTTTGCACCAGTTGGGATGGATGACATCCTAGGAATGCAGAGATACTAGCAGCCCGCGAAAGGAATGCATTTGTTTTTTTTTTCTTCCGGGCTTCCCAATTAGCCCAAAGTTAAGTGTCAACGGGGATGGGTTTTGGGGCTGGCATGCTCGACTCAGGGTTTTCGCGCGCTTCCAGTCCACAAATATGAAGCCCGATCTGAGTTCAGCTGCATTCTGTCCTTGCATATTCCTGTCTTCGGTTTTAGTATGGCTTTTGATTCTCCACATCTTCAGCCCCCAGGGGCAGTCCTGCCTGCAACTCAGGTTGACGGCACACGGTCTGCCACCTTGAAGGGGATCTTGGGAGACCTGCGCTCCGACGGCCAACTGGAATTCGCCGATGAGGCACCCGTCGTTTTGGTTCTCTCTGACCCTCCCTTTTCGTGGGGGAAGATGGCAAGTGCCATTTTTGGACAGCCCCCTTTTGGTTGGCATTATATATATAGAGAGGGAGACAAGAGGCAAGCCAAATGAACAAGACTGTTGGCGGCTTTCCGTTTCCTGTAGGGCGCATGCGACGGCATGCGGGTCGCTGGATTGTTCTCCCAGAAGGGGATACGCAGTCCTGCTGTGCAATTATTGCACGCAGAGCTGCTCTTTTTTGGGCTTGCAAGCCAAGCCACCCATTCCATCGAGGGCAATTGTTGCATTTCAGTACAGTCGTTCGCAGCGTGCACATCCAACGACAAGCACCATGTCCTTTGAACGAAGCGTGTAGCTCTGGCCTCTTTGTATTTTTCTCAACCCAAATAGGTGCCGGAGTGGCCCGGAGCGGCTCCGCCCTAAGGTTTCGGAAGGATTCTGGAAGGGTTCCGGGATTTCTATTGGGGATATCGCCTTGGCTCATTATACGTATATACTTGGATCCTTCATGTACTAAATACAGCTTTGAAATATACTCGGGATGTGCGCGCCGGCTGGTATTGAGCGAGGAATGGCTTGGCTGGTGCCCAAACTCAGTTGTCAAGCCTAGCCGGATCAACGATGGTTTGAAGTTGCAATGCCATGAGCTGCATTCAAGTCTGCAGGACGATGGCACCCGGTCTGCCACGCTCGGTATCCTGGGCGACCTCGACTCGGGCAGCAAACTGCGTGGAGAATTCGCCGAGGCGCTGGGGGTCGTTCAGCTTTTCCTACCCTGACCAAGATGCAACTCGGGGCATTCGACGGCATGCAGGGCAGCTCATTGTTCTGGAGGGAGCTTTTTTTTGGAGATTGCAGGCGGCAGTTGAATTCTTAGTACTTCCAGTGATTGATTTGTTTGCAGCTTTTCATGCTGGCTGTGAAGAGTGTTCGAGCCACAAGCAGGGCCAAAGCGGGCTTTAAAGGGGACGGACAGTCTATGATGTATTTGTGCTTTTACGCCTCCGGCTCAGACCGCCGACATTACAGGCCTGTTTTCTTGTATGCGTCATAATTGTCCCTTTGGAACTTTCCCTTTGGAAGTGTTCGTTGGAACGTTCCCTTTGCAATTTCTCTCATTGGATCTCCCTTCGGATTTCTCCCTATTGGAATTCTCCCATTGGACTTCTGCCTTTGGATTGTCCCCAGGACTTTTCTCATTAGAATTCCCCAATTGGAATTGTCCCTTGAATTCTCCCGTTGCATGGACTTTCCCCTTTGGAATTCTTGCATGGGATTTCTCCCATTGGAATTCTCCCATTGTCCGTTTAGGATTTTCCCTCGTACTTGACCTGTTTTCTAGGAAGGTCATTCTGATAATGCTGGTGATACTGCTGGCGATACTGATGGTGATGTTGCAGCTGAGGATGCAAAAAACGCTTTAGCGATGTTGGACAGAACATTTTTACGCAACCATGTGCCCCCCCCCCGCCCCCCCCCCCTCCCCCTCGCATGCAAGGATTTGGTCTACGAATAGGACTGTCCGGGGTTTGTGCCCTTGAAGTTCTTGCGTCCAACACGCTGTTCGTTGTCGGCTCATTCTTGTATTCAGAGCTGCTTGCTTTTGTGCTTGCAAGCTACAATGTTGATGACCACGCCTTTGAACGAAGTGTGGTATCACGTGTTTTCCATTCATGCATCTCCGGCCTTCTTATACACTTGGATCCTTCATGTAAAAGGTGCATCTTCTGCACATACCCGGGAGCTGCACGCACCACGCAATATATTGAGCAAAGGTCGGCTTGGTAACTTGGTAGGTACCTAAACAAATCAGATGTCAAGCCTAGCCGGGGCAATCGATATGTTTAGGAAACACAGGCTCTACTCATTCTACCGGAAGTTGCCCTGATATTCTGTGGGCTACCGCCCAGGCAGACGATGGCACCCGGTCTGCCACGCTCAAGGCTATCCCTCGCGAGCTGAACGAGGGCTTCCAACTTCATGGGGAATTCGCCGACGAGGCGCTGAAACGGAATGCAAAACGGCCAGTGCTGGGTTCGGGCCTGTGACCCTCTTTTTGGTGGGCGTCTCCTTGTCTTGAGACCCCACCCCTCACCTGGTTTGTTAGGGGCTTGCATTTCTCCCGCGAAATGAAGGATCCCCACAAGAGGCACCTGGGATAAGTTTGCAAACGCAGGTTCTGCGTTTTTCTTGTGACCCTTCCATTTCCAGGAACCCCACCGAAAATGGGTCTTTTCTCTTTGCGTTTCCTTTAGAACCTCCCAAAGGCAGACGGTGTCACTAAGGATTACTTCGCAAGGTAGCCTCGCCAACCTCTGTTTTCCTACTTGCCATGGTTATGATCCACTTTCTAACAGGGGTCCCAATATTTCCTTTATGAACCCATGTTTTCCCTTGCTCATTATGATTTGACCGGGGCGAAAAATAGCCACCAGCCAGGACTTGGCACACGGGGTGATGTTGAAAGGGGACATGGAGTTGGTTTCCACTTCGCCCAAGCCACTACTGGGGCCCGGGGGAAAAATGAGGTATGCACCCTTTGTACGGCTCTATGTGGGGCAATAGCAACCACCATCTTAGAATGGTGTTAATACCAAAGACATGCTAAAGGAACAACCGTATGGTGGCTAAGCTTCGGCTTTTCCAGGGTTCGGGCTGCAAATCGACATACTGAAATGTCGATCCAGTGTGTGGGTCCCGCCTCTCTCTTCACTTCAAATCACACAATGGCCCCTAGCGCGCTGAGTTGCCAATTCATTTCAGCTCCCAAGATGCTTGGCCCTGAATCCTGAATTGTCAATTCAGGCTCCATGCTGAATCATGATGCCCACAGGCTCCGTTCCTTTGGACACATCGCCATTCGATGGACTCTGAGGCGGATCGTGCTGAGCGCCGACTACGCGAGGAGCACTCGGACGAGGCGGAGCTGCACTTGCTGAGTGGAGGTCTCCTCCTCTTTTGGTCCCTTAAAATGAACATTGGGAGGGGCTCTCAAAATTCTTTTGGGGGTGATTTCCCTTTAAACTGCCAATTTTGAGGATGTCACTTTGGTGGTCCCAGAACAGTTCACGATGATTCACCACTGTGTGTTCACGTATACCAGTTGACTGGGCAAACTTGGAACCTATTTTGGGCAGGTCTCTTCATCACCTTAGCCAAGCCCCAACAACTCGAATCTTTCCTTCCCAGTAGACTCCGCATGTCAGTGGCCAGGCTCAAAGCACACGGACAGTCCAGGATTTCGCAGGGCCCCATAGGGCGGGTTTAAAGATCACCGGGCTACCCTTACGATTGGAGGGTGTTGGAGCATCCTCTTGAAAAGGGCCCCTGTCAACTTCCATGAGAGTGCGAAGACGTGACGGTTCCTGTTTACTTGATGGTTGGAAAGATGGTTGAGGCGGGCTTCCTTTTTGTTCGGTGACGCTTCTGGTGGGGGGGGGTCCCCTAAAATTGTTTGGTTTCCTGTTTGGTTTCAACCAAAAGAGTGAACATCTCCCTTCGTCTTGTCCCTCAGGCGTCGGCCGCTGCCTCCTCCGTCGCCTTGTCCTCTGTGGTGTCCGATTCCGCGTCCGCACGGTCTGTGCCATCCTTTGGGCGGCCTGGCCGAAGTGAGGAGTTTGGGCGAGAGTCGACAGGATTTCCACTTTCACCTAGGCCAGAATCCAAACATGAGCGTTTGCGTGTTTGCTCGGGGTTGCTTTAAAGGGAAGCCAACCACCCGTCATTTTTGTTTTTGAGGTTTTTGAGAGCAAACGGCTGAGGTAGGAATGAGGCTAGGTGAGCTAGCTCACTTGGGTGCAAAATGGGTCCAAACAATCAGACCCGATTTGGCCCCTTGACTAACCAACTGCGTTCGGGTGAAAGACCCAAATCCAGGGTGGGTCCAATATGGTACGCATTTTGCATTCCTGGATGGCAAAAGGATGCCTGAGTTGTCTACATAGCACATTTTGTTGCTCGGTCGGTTGCATTTCGTTGAGGCTTGACCCGGTGCTTGAGTTGACGATATGATACAGTGCCAATGCATGGCTGACTTGCATGGTGCAGGTTCTTTGCAGGCATTTTACAGCCGAACGGGGGGCAGTTTTGCAATTTTTCCGCTTGTCTCGATCCTTGAGAATTCGAAGAACTCGAGATGCTTCGCCCTTGCCTCATGCTCTCCTTGCTGCTGAGCGGGCAGGCCTGCTTGTGGGAGTGGGCAGGAGTCTACCACGCACATGAAGCGGGCACGCTCACGTGGACCTTTGAGAAGAAGGGAGCAGCGAATGGTCAATATGCTGATCCCTCAATAAAAGTGGCCTTGAGAAGTACAAGCACTGCCAATGCTGCTGGCATCACAGCTGTGCAAAGCGCAGCGGAAGCTGATCTCAATGGCACTTTGACCACTGTGTCCAGTGGAGCAGTTCTGAGCTTAAACACAGCCTACCAGCTCCAGCTTGATGCAGATTCTTGGATCAGCATTTTCAAGTTTCCCGTGGCAGCTGAAAGCAATGTAGCACTCTTCGCAGAGCACTCTCCTTCTGAGTTCAGTGATCAACTGTCTACCGTAATCCGCAACGACCATGCAGAAGACCAGTCTCCTAGCCACACTCTGGCATGCGATGATCACCATGACCACGACCACGACTCTGCTGAGACCACTTCGACTGACAGGATTGGAGAGGTGATTGCTGCATCACTGGTGACAGCGCTTCCAACTCTCTGTGGCATAGCTTTGCTGGCCATGTCCTGCTCAAGTGGCAGCCCAAGATTCAAAGCGATACTTCACTTCACCAACTCCCTTGCCTCTGGCATTCTCTTGGCAGCCGCCTTGTTCCTCCTCATGCCAGAGGCCAGTCACATGCTTGCAGTTGGTAAAACTGAAGCTGCAGCTGCTGCAGCATGGGGCAGCACCTGCATCGCTGGTTGGCTACTAGGAGCAGTCTCTCACCTTGCTGGAGCGGTGGTAAAGAACAAGTGTGGAGGGGACAGCGGAAGTGAGGACGATACGAAGGCAGTTGACGTAGGCGATGAGAAAGAGAAGCCTCCTGCAAAAAGGATGATGTGGGTACTTGGGTTTCCCATTTTTACTGGAGACTTCTTCTGCAATCTAGCAGATGGCTTCGTCCTTGGGACGGCTTTCAAAGCGTGCAGCCCCAGCTTTGCGTGGAAGATTTGCGGCATCATCATTGCTCATGAACTTCCGCAAGAAATTGCGGACATGTACACCTTGGTCTTCAAAGCGGGAATGAAGTGGTGGCAGGCCACCCTCCTCAACTTTACTTGTGGTTGTGCAGCGGTCCTAGGTGCAATCATTGCATACTACTCAGACATTCCCGTTGAAGCTGAGGGTGCAGTTCTGGCGCTTGCTGGTGGAGTTTTCCTCTACGTGGCTCTCACTGAGCTGGCACCTTCGGTGAACCACCCCCCGGAGTCATCTTGGCCTTTGCTCACCGCATGTGCCACCGTCTTGGTGTTCGTTGTGGGGGCTGCTTCCATTGGATTGATTCTTCTTGACCATGAGCATTGCTCCGCGGGCGGACATGGACATGGCGACAGCCACGAGGACACACACGCAGGGCACTGAGCACAGCATTGACTTTTTTGCCTCGGGGCAGTAGTGACTTTTGCCAAGGGGCAGTCACGTTACTTCTTTTTCCCCGGAGCATTTCTTTTGACTTGCGGCTTCAGAGTCAGGCTGCAAGCTTGCCACAAGGCTGTGGGTCAAATATGTTGACAAAGACTAGATGTTTGAAGGCGAAGACTAGAATGACAAAGCTGGTGGCTTGTTATGTACCCATCATTTGACCCAAACTGAGAATTTTGCCTTCAGCTCTTGCTGAGGGGTAGACCTGCGTTGCCACATTCGCAGGTTGCTGAGGGGTGGGTTTCCCCATAGTTTGGCACGGTGCAAAGCGCAGGTCCGTAGTTCCAGACTGAGTTCGGCTGAGCCGTTACCCACAAGACTTTGCTCCTGCTGCCTGTGGGCGAAAAAGAAAGTGGCAGTTTACTAAGAATAGCTTCGAGCGCACAGGTTTGTCAAATTAAACATGAGTCCGTAATCTGCGAGAGGGCTGCTGTTGAACAAGTTGCCAACATCCATCCGTGGACAAAGAAGTGTTTCATTGCGACGAAGGTGATGGCTGTTGACGGAAGAAGGATAAAGAAACCCTGAGCCTAGTTTGATCCATCATTGCTTATCCATTCATCTGGTGCTTGGCTGAGTTTCGAAAATCCCTCGTCTCAATGTCGTGCATGTGCGCCAAGCCAAGGGCGGTGAAGAACATCAGTCTCCCTCCATAAAGTTATAGGTCTTCTTGAACCAGGCCGAGCACCCGTGCGAAGTCTTTGAGTGGATTTGTTGGTGTGCTTTGATTTGGGTATTCAAATTACAACCCTCCCCTTTTTTGAGACTTGAAGGATCCCATTTTTTTTTTTTGGGGGGGGGTTCCTTTTGCTAATCTGCAGGGGGAGCACCCATGAAGGGGTTGTTAGATTTGATGTTGGAATCCGCGTTTGCGATGCTTCTACACCACGACCCCCACCCATAATCCCGCCAGAGCAGCTCGCCAGTGGATCCCGCCCAGTATCCCGCCAGATCTGCTCGCCAGTGGATCCCGCCAAGTACGGCACGCCAGTATCCCGCCAGAGCTGCTCGCCAGTGGATCCCGCCGAGTATCCCGCCAGGGCAGCTCGCCAGTGGATCCGAGTATCCCGCCAGAGCTGCTCGCCAGTGGATCCCGCCCAGTATCCCGCCATAGCTGCTCGCCAGTGGATCCCGCCGAGTATCCCGCCAGAGCTGATCGCCAGTGGATCCCGCCCAGTATCCCGCCAGAGCTGCTCGCCAGTGGATCCTGCCAAGTACGGCACGCCAGTGGATCCCGCCGAGTATCCCGCCAGAGCTGCTCGCCAGTGGATCCCGCCAAGTATCCCGCCAGAGCGGCTCGCCAGTGGATCCCGCCGAGTATCCCGCCAGAGCGGCTCGCCAGTGGACGCCAGTGGATCTCGCCGAGTATCCCGCTGAGTATCCCAGAGTAGCTCGCCACTGGATCAGCCAGTGGATCACCACCAGAGCAAGATCCCGCCAAGTATCCCGCTGAGTATGCTCGCCAGTGATCCCGCCAAGTATCCCGCCAGAGTAGCTTGCCAGTGCATCCCGCCGAGTATCCCACCAGAGCAGCCCGCCAGTGGATCCGCCGAGTATCCCTGCGAGTGGATCCCGCCGAGTATCCTGCTGAGTATCCCTTGCCCGTGGATCCTGCCTAGTATCCGGCCAGTATCGAACCGAAACGACTCGCCAATATTCGCCAGTGGATCCCGCCAGTATCCCGCCAGAGCAGCTCGCCAGTCTGGTTTTGCTTCATGTCCAAAAGGGCCGATGGGAATTTGGAGTCGAAGTCTCTAGGATGCGGAGGAATTTGTTGTAACGGTCGTAAGCTCGCTCGTGAGTGTGGAGGGCGGGGATTGCTCGAAGCGAAGTATTATTTTCAGCCAACAGGCCAATTTTCCCGGTGGTTTCAGGCCAGGGATGCTGCACGGAGCTTCGACCCAGCGGCCGTTTCGCTCCCGAGGCCTTTGTGGCTGGAAGTGTCGCTGTTGGAGCGCTTGAAGCTCCTGCCGGTTTGGGGGCCCGGCGACCGAAGCAAACTCGTGGTTAGAAGGGGTCCTTTTCACCTTGCAAAGCAGAACTCCTTAAAAGAAATTCGAATTTTGCAGCCAGTTGAGACATGTGGCTTTTTAAACACCAGAATAAAGGGAAACCGCCATTTAGAAGGCAATGTTTAGGTGTTTATTGTAAGGATCCTTGCAAAGGCTTCCCCCCAAAAAAGGTGCCATCCAAAAAAGGCTCCCGAAACATGTCTAGTTTGGGAAGTGGTTTCCCTTTCACTGCGCCCATGTGGCTGTTTCTCCAAATGGGGGGCTATCGAAAAACCATTGCCCAGACTTAAGCCAGTGGGTAGACCCTGCGCTTGAGGACCTACCCAACGCAGTCGCCTTGATTGCCCTTTGCGCTTCCCTTCCAACAGCCATCCAGCAAGTTGGTGTCCCCTTCCCAGTCTCAGTTTGGTTGAACCTGGAAAAACTGTTTTTTTTGTTGGTTCCCTTTCAATTTCCAGCGGCCCCCATCTATCTGCCCAGTTTTGGGCGAGCTCTGGGGAGAAACACACTTACCGTGATGTTGGTCCTTGGGGATGATACGCAGTGCAGGCCAGTGTGTTTCGTCAACACAAGCTGACATTGGTGCCATGGCCAAAACACCCCTTCACTCGGGGAAACGGAGATATGAGTCATATGAGTGCCTTAGGTCCATGACCATGACGGCAATCCACTGATCATTCTTTTTGGTTGTATGTTTTGAAGCGTGTTTCCCTTGTAACAAAACAGGGTGCCTCGTCTTCCCATTGGAAAAAACACAGACGCCCCACCCAATTCTGCGCTTTGGATCTCGCGGCTTTTGGACGTCAGGTGCCGGAGGCCTCGGCAGGTGGGCCGGAAGGTTGGGTGCATCGGCACCTGCTGGCACGCCACGCCGGGGGAGCCGAGAAACGGGTCGCAGCGGACGAGAAAAGAATGAGCAATCAAGCAACAGATGATGGCTGTGGTTGTCAAAACCGTTTTGGAATCCCATTTTTTTCCCCGGTGCACCACCCATTTTAGAACCTGTTTTAGTGGGGATTGGGATGTTCACTGTGGGGGTACGGGATTTTGACCCTTGGCCATATGTTTGGGCCTACTTCATGTTTTGAATGGGGTTGCGGGGTGCTTCAAAGCCGAACTTGGTGAAGATTCCGGGGGTAAACTGCTGGCAGTTTTACCCCTTATACGATCTGGAACACATTCAGGGATCCAATGCAAACCATTTTGGATCCAATTGAGCAGATGGCAAAACTCTTGGTACTGATAGTTGCACCCAAACCCCCAAAAGCACGCCGCCACCAATCCGCCGGGTGAAAAAGACAAACATCGACCAAAACTGGAGGTGTGGTTGGGAGAGGGTGGCGTGGGGAGCAAACATGACTGTCAACTTCGGATGAATGCAAAACCGCAGAACCACACTCATCAAAGGGTGGGAATCCCCCATTTAGAAGCGTTTATCTCTTCTTTGGGGGGCGGTACTGTGGATGGACCAAATCCCGCACCAGCTTTTGCGCAATTTATCCCAGCATTTTCCGGCGTTTTGTTTTTTCCGGGCTCAAATAGGCCTATGCGGCCGCGCCGCGCCCAGTCGCGAGCCCGCGCAGTTGGGGCGCGAAATCGATGGGCCAGGCGGGCAGCATTAAGGAGTCCTTTCACGGTTGGATTTGTGGCAGCGGAATCGAGGAGCCGCTTGGCCTGCATCGAATTTCTTCAGACATCGGACAGCCGGCGGAGATCTGCCCGGTGCTTTTCTAGGGGTCGGATTTTGGGGAAGTCGGACCCTCTCCAGAAAGGTTTGCGAGCATGGCCTGGATGTTCAGCGTCGCGGAGTCCCAGGATTCAGAAGCCCCTACATTCACACAAGGGACCTTTGACTTTTGGGGGAGTTGCGCCCCCTGGATAATCTGCCAGATTTATTCATTCGGGGTCAACATTAATTAAGAAGGTTTAAGCCAGGCTTGGCAGTCAGATGATGACCCTAGTTATGCCAGGAATAGCCAAAGTGAACATCCAAGTCAACTTCCTGGGGCTTGCTACTGAAGAGGCAACCCAAATCACGACCTGAGGGGGGGTGGGGGGCAAGGCAATTTTTGTTTGTGGTTGCATTGACTTTGCATCCAGAATCCTCAGCACAAGTCCCAACTCTAAAAAGACATTGCGAATCGCGAACACTCAATTCAGATTCCAAACCGGGACTCCTGCATCGCAACTTCCAACTCCTGAATCTAGAAAATGGATTTGGCTTCCCTTCAGACTCCTCTGAAACCATGCACCCGCTGAAAGTTGGGGATTTCGAACCGATCCGCGGGAGGAGCATCCAACGTACCTGTCTCAAAGTCTCCCTGCCCACCTCAGCGCCAGCACCAGGGCGAAAGTAGACGTGACGTCAGCTAGTAAACAGCGTCTTGAAAGGATATACTGAGTCACTCAGAACAGCACCTTCACCTGCTGATTTAGATGATCCTTGTAAAGAAGGGTTTGGATGCATCGGTTCAGAAAGCATGGCAAAGGGGATTACTGAACCAAACTTGAGGCGCAGGAGGAGCGGATTTGTGCTATGGTTGGAGCCCATTTCTTCCTTGAGAGCCTACTCCCGTTCAACTGCTGTTCCACTAACACCTCTGGAAACCCAAAGTAGGTTCTTTAAACCTCCTCGTTTTTCCTTCTTTCTTCTTCTGAGTAGGTTACCGTTCTTTTTTTGTATTTTTTCCCGAGATGGCGCCCCACTCGTCTCCCCCCCGGGCCAACCTGACGTCGACGGGTGCTCCCCGTCCCGAGGTCCGGGGTGCCGGTGCGGCGGTCCGTGGCGGCGGCCAGCCGCTCGCGGCCCATGGAGCGCGCCTCGCTGCGGGCCACCTTCCGGCTGCGCTGCGCCGAGCGGGTGGGCCCTGAGGCGCTGAGCAAGGAGTGGGCTTGGTTTTGGGGGGGGGCGGGTTGGGGGGTTGGGGGGTTGGGGGTTTGGGGTGGGGGGGTGGGGGGGTGGGGGGTGGTGGGTTTGGAGTGTGGAGGTGTGTGAGGGCTGTGGAGGGTTTGGGGGGGTTGGGGGGGGGGAGAAACAAGCAGCTTGGTGGGGGGTTTGGGGGGGTTTGGGTTGGGGGGGGCAACAAGCAGCTGAGCAATATTCATGCTCAGCCAGGCACGGGGGTTGGGGGGGGATCGGATCTGGGGATTTGGGGATTGGGGATTTGGGGGGTGGGGGGGAGAATATCCACACTGCTGGACTTGTCTCAAAACAGGAAATCCCTAAAATGAGCGATTTCCATTTGTTTTTCTCCGAACAGGTTTGCAACTCCCAGGAGCCACGCTGGGAACATATTTGGGTCACAGCGACAGCAAGAGTTGTTACCATGATTAGTAAGTTGAATGGGCCGGGTTGGACGGGGAGTGGTCGAGGGGCGGGTGGAGGTTGGGAGGAGTGGGAGCCCTTTGCTTAAACCCAAGTTCATTGGAGATGGTCCCAACTCTCATGCGAGGGCGGCTTTTAATGACAGACAGTGTCCGCTGAGCAGGACTGCCCAGTGAAGCTCGTGGTCTTCGACTTTGATGAGACCCTCACGCTGGCAACTTTTATGACCGGCAACTGCGAGTATGCCGACGAGGAGGCATTCGACTTGGGGGCTGGAGGGTGAGTTGCATCATGCCCATCCCCGACCTTCCAAAACGATGCGTTCCCCCTTGGTCAACTTTATCACCCTTTGGGGGCCCCGAAGAAAGCACAGATCCACAGAATTCATCGGCCGCCTGATTCTCTTTGGCCAACATGTACCAGGCATCCTGTTAGTTCCTGTTTGAGTGGTTTCAACGTCCCCCTTCATTTGCAATTCTAGAGTGAGTTGCCCTTTGGGGGGATGGTTTAGGGGACATGTAAGGACCCTGCTGTACCAGGGTTGTGGGCAGTGGGTTGGTTGCCCTTTCAATGGGGAATTGATCAATGGGAAGGCCTTCCATCACAGGAATGGTTGCGATTTTCACCGGCAGACATCATTTGGGTGTGTCCGTTTTTGAGGGTACCCTTTTCGGGGTTAGGTTTAAGGGACATGAAAGGGATATGTAACTATCCATTTGTATGCTTCCCCTATTTTGAGACCCCCCGTTTGTTTCCTATGCACAAGACTTTCCCAGGGATTCCAGGTACATGTACTGGCCCATTTGCGTCCTTTGGGCGAACTTTGGGCGAATTTGGGGAGGAAGCCCGCTAGCCCAATAAGGCACACCATGGGGGGATTCTTTGACGGTCGTTAAACAGAACCCCGCTCTTATGTCAGGCATGCTCGTCGGATGCCAAACTGGTTCCGGTTGGCGGCAGGAGAAGGACATTGCGCGGGTCATCAACTTTGAGACCCCCTGGGTTGAAGGCACGGGGGGAGATGTGTCTATCTCAACCTTGTTGGTGGAGGATAAATCTCAGCTTTTTTTGTTTTTGTTTGGAGGTGATTTGTTATTTCTTCACAATGTCAAGTTTGGTTGGCAAATGCAAGACTTTGGTAAGGACGCAGTTGCTGTGGACCATTGTTTGAGAAATAGGCTGGAGGTTGTTTGTAGGTCTTGTCTTTTGGCCCTCGGTTGGACACCTCTTGAATTGCTTGAGGGGTTCCTTTCTCTTGCCTCCCAAAACAAGCCATACGGCTGGTTTCAAAACTTTACAGTGGCTTGGCTTTGCTATTGTTTGTTCTTCAACTGAACAAGAAATAGGGGGTGGTCGGGGGGGGGGGGGGTCCCGAAATGAGAGGCAACCAAAAAAGTACGGTTTTTCATTTTGCATTCTTTGCAATCGTAGCTCTTTCAGGATTTGGCTATGAACCCCTCAAGCATGTTTGGTGCACATTTGAACTGACGTCCACCACAGGGCCCCCAATCGAGTAGCGGCCAAAACTTCATTGGCCATTTTCGGCCTGGTTGTTGAATGGCCTGGTTGCATGGCTGCAAGAACATTGACCATCTTGGCACCCAAAGTAAACGGATTCTTTTTGCGCTCGGCTCAAGTTCGTACTCGTTTGTGCCATGGTCATAAGGCCTCCGTACTTGGGGTTACCAAGGGTGGTCATAGGCCCCTCGGGGATTTGAGACCAGCTTTGACGGCTCATGTGTCCCACCTCCAAAGTCTTTATGACCCACATGTTCCTTTTGAAATTTTGTTTTTCCCGAAAGCATCGCGAAGGGTTCTTCCGTGCGGAGCCCTTGGACAAGTTACATAGACCCAAGTTACATAGAGCCAAGTTACATAGAGCCAAGTTACATAGAGCCAAGTTACATAGAGCCAAGTTACATAGAGCCAAGTTACATAGAGCCAAGAGCCAAGTTACATAGAGCCAAGTTACATAGAGCCAAGTTACATAGAGCCAAGTTACATAGAGCCAAGTTACATAGAGCCAAGTTACATAGAGCCAAGTTACATAGAGCCAAGTTACATAGAGCCAAGTTACATAGAGCCAAGTTACATAGAGCCAAGTTACATAGAGCCAAGTTACATAGAGCCAAGTTACATAGAGCCAAGTTACATAGAGCCAAGTTACATAGAGCCAAGTTACATAGAGCCAAGTTACATAGAGCCAAGTTACATAGAGCCAAGTTACATAGAGCCAAGTTACATAGAGCCAAGTTACATAGAGCCAAGTTACATAGAGCCAAGTTACATATTACATAGAGCCAAGTTACATAGAGTTACATAGAGCCAAGTTACATAGAGCCAAGTTACATAGAGCCAAGTTACATAGAGCCAAGTTACATAGAGCCAAGGTTAGGTAGAGCTTAGAGCTTCGGCGTTAGCAGCTATGTAAGTTAGTTTAGGTTTCTAAGGCGCCGGGGCGGGAGTTTGATCGTCGCTCGGGATTGCGACCCTCTGCGGAGATTCGCGTGGTCGAGGTTCAAAACTGAGGACTTTTTACGATTTTTAGCATGCGCGCGCGACCCTCTGCGGAGATTCGCGTGGTCGAGGTTCAAAAACTGAGGACTTTTTACGATTTCTGCGGTGCGCGCGCGACCCTCTGCGGAGATTCGCGTGGTCGAGGTTCAAAAAGTGAGGACTTTTTACGATTTCTGCGGTGCGCGCGCGACCTCTCTGCGGAGATTCGCGTGGTCGAGGTTCAAAAACTGAGGGCTTTTTACGATTTCTGCGGTGCGCGCGCGACCTCGCGTGGTCGAGGTTCAAAAACTGAGGACTTTTTACGATTTTTAGCATGCGCGCGCGACTCTCTGCGGAGATTCGCGTGGTCGAGGTTCAAAAACTGTGGACTTTTTACGATTTCTGCAAGCCGCGCGCGACCCTCTGCGGAGATCGTGCGCGTCGAAGCGCTCTCGCTGTGGCGCCGTGCGAATTTGTCTTAGTCTCGGCGAACCCTCTGCGGAGATTGCGCGCTCTCGCTGTGGCGCCGCGCAATATTCTTGCTCGCGAAACGGCCTTTGGAAGTTGTCTCGTGGTTTGCGCGCTTGCTTTCGCAATCCCGCGGTCGCGGGTTCGATCCCCCCCTGGTCCGCGGCAGCTCCGGCTTGAAAATCGCAGCTTTTAAGTACAAACGTAGTACCGGCTGGAAAATCGTAACTTTTGAGTACAGACGTAGTGCGCGGAGAGTGCTCCCGCAGCTCAGGCTGGAAAATCGCAACTTTTAAGTACAAACGTAGTACGCGGAGCACACCCCCGCAGCTCCGGCTTGAAAATCGCAGACAAACGTAGTACGCGGAGCGTGCTCCTGCAGCTCCGGCTGGACAATCGCAACTTTTAAGTACAAAAATAGTACGCGGAGCACATTCCCACAGCTCCGGCAGCACTTGCGCAGAGCAACTTGCGCAGAGTCACTTGCACAGAGCAACTTGCGCTCTGCGAGTTGCACAGAGCACTTGCACAAAGCACTTGCGCAGAGCACCTTGCACAGACCAACTTGCACAGAGCACATGCGCAAAGCGCTCGCACGGAGCAACTGGCGCAGAGCACTTGCGCAGAGCAACTTGCTCAGAGCACTTGCGCAGAGCAACCTGCACAGAGCACTTGCGTGCAGCAGCGTGCAGAGAGCAACTTGCCCGAAAGCAGCCTGGAACAGTGCAGCTTGCGCAGACCACTTTCGTGAGAAATCATGCAGCGCAACTTGAGCAAAGCACATTGCGCTGAGCAGACTCGCGCAGAGCCACGCTTTATAGAGCCAAGTTGCGCAGAGCCACTCGCGTAAAGTAGCTTGCGCTCGCCAGGTAGCAGCGCCAAGTTGCGCAGAGCCATCTTGCGCAGAGCTAAGTTACACGAGCCTGCTTTGCAGAAACACACGCTTTCATGACATAGCGATTTTTGTGTCTGACTCGGGCAGGAGCCGGTTGCTATTGGCTTGTTTCTTTTTGTTTCGTGGGCAGCGCCGTCCTTCAGGGCGAAGTCACATTTACCTGCACAGAGCCAAGTTGCACAGAGCCAAGTTGCACAGAGCCAACTTGCACAGAGCCAAGTTACATAGAGCCAAGTGACATAGAGCCAAGTTACCATAGAGCCAAGTTACATAGAGCCAGGTTACATAGAGCCAAGTTACATAGAGCCACGTTACATAGAGCCAAGTTACATAGAGCCAAGTTACCATAGAGCCAAGTTACATAGGGCCAAGTCACATAGAGCCAAGTTGCACAGAGCCAAGTTGCACAGAGCCAACTTGCACAGAGCCAAGTTACATAGAGCCAAGTGACATAGAGCCAAGTTACCATAAAGCCAAGTTACCATAGAGCCAAGTTACCATAGAGCCAAGTTACCATAGAGCCGAGTTACATAGAGCCAAGTTGTACAGAGCCAAGTTGCACAAAGCCAAGTTGTACAAAGCCAAGTTACACAGAGCCAAGTTGCACAGAGCCAAGTTGCATAGAGTCAAGTTACACAGAGCCAAGTTGCATAGAGTCAAGTTACATAGGGCCAAGTTGCACGAGCCTGCTTTGCAGAAGCTGTTGCATCGTGAAAAGCACATGATGGGAAGCGCTTGGGGAAAAATGCTTTCGGGCCAATCGTCCTCTAGTTCTTTTCACCACCTGGAGACAATAGGGTGACTTATTCAAATTCGACCACATGACTCACTAAGTCCCTCATGTTTACGGGAGCAGAGCAAAGCTTACCTAGCTGCTCGGGGCTTGCGATGGCTTTTATGCAAGAAGGTCTTGTTTTCATGTTCCTCAAAAGGGGAGCCAACCGTGTTTGTTTTGGTTTTCCAGAAGGGGCGGCTTGTTTTCACGTGGCGTGAGGCTCCAGGATCCAGAAGCTGCAGCACATGCTCCAGTCCATCAAGGACCTTGCTCCATGTAGGGTGGAGATTTGCTCATTTCGGTGCCCCAGGGGCCCATTTCCGACCAGCCCTCCAAACTTGTGGTTTGAGCTCGCCCTTGAAATGCAGACCATAGGTGTCCATTTTGGTTGATTTGGTTGAAAACCCTGGGGGGCGATTCCTGGTTCTCCTGTCAACCAGGGCCATCTATTTTCCCAAAAAGGACACGGATGTGAAGATCCTGACCCCGCTTCGACCGCCTCGAAGCCTGGGAGCCTCGAAGGAATCCGCAGGCCAGACGCGGACCTTGACGGTGCTCACCAACAACGGCAAGGGCGTCCAGGCGTCAATTCGCGTTCCGCCGGAACCGCCGGGACGCGGAGGGGGGGGGGGAGAAGCCCCGTGTCTTCCTGTGGAAAGCAACAAGAGGAACCCTCCCACCAATTATCACATGGAACCTGACGGGGGCATGGTCCCTTTGAAAGAAAGATGGGTCCAAACCAGGACCCCCCTGTCGGGTTCCATGTTAGTTGGTGGGAGGGTAAAACAAGTCAAAGGGCGTGATGGCCAGCAGTTTCCGGGGCTGTGGGAATCCCCCAATAAACCACCAGCAGTCGGATGGTTCAGAAAAAAACGTCCCCTGGAGCTAGCGGAGGCGGTCATCAACATGCTGAAGATCGCCTCTCTTGACCAGTACTTCAGTGCTGTGTGGACCATGCCCTGGAGGCAGTACATGCCCAACGGCGCGTACAAGGATCAGAAGGGGCAGTGGAAGTTGTTTGACCCCCCTTCTGAAGCTGGTCCGGACAAAGAACAGCTTTCAGGCAACTAATTTGGAGTTTGACGCTTTGCTTTTTGTTTATGCTTTTGCGACGTCCATCCCAGGACACCAAATGCAGGAATAATCAGGGGTGCTGTTTTAAAATAGGAATTTGCACCCCACCAAATGGGCGGATTCTTTTTGGTGTCCCTTTAATACCAAGCCAAAAGGGTACCCTTAACAAGAGACGCACACCCAAGCCCTACGTATCACAGCCGAATCGCTAAGGACAAGGTCCGCAATCACAAGGCTGACGTCTTGACGCATGTGACCAAAAACCCCGTGGCCTGGTTCCCGCAGATCGGCAACGATGCATCCTTCAAGGAGCACACCGGTGTTTGCTTGGGCGCCTCTGTTCGGTTGTAAATAGGGTTATGAACCTAAGAGGGGGTTGACGGGTCTGACAACCCAACTTATAGGTCATGTCAGACCAATCACCCCACGGAGCGCGGTTGCTCGCCACGACAAGATACTTATCTGGGGGTTTCTAAAACGTGACCCCCTTTTGATTAGTATTCAAAGGGAACCAAACATTTTAGGGAAACCCTATTTTGACACCCTCGCCCGGCTGGGTCCATTTTACAGGGCTTTACAAGGATATGCACTGCAGGATGGCAGGGGGTCCAACCCCTTCAACCCCGGCTTGATCGACAGATTTGCCCCCACCCTTTCCCCCTTGAAGGAGGCATGCAGGTCCTTACAAGGCTCAACCGTCACATAGAGTGTGCGTTTGGTGGGGCGATGTTGAAAGGGGACATACACAGATTTTCGCAACTTGGATCTTTTGATATGTATTTCCCTTGTTGGGGTTCCGGTGGGTGCAAGACACGAGCTTGCCTTCAAATCGGGGAGGCCCCAAACTGAGTTGCCAACTCAAGGAAGGGAACATATGCCCATAAGATGCTGGATCAAACGAACCCAAGGAGGACTTGGAGATAGAAACCCAAAAATTAGCCAACCATATTTTGGGGCTGACCGGGGGTTAGCAACCCTGCTCCAAAGTGCTGCACGGGGGCCTCGCAATTTCGCGCGAGGCTCATATAAGCGCAAGGGATACCTCCGCTCCTGTTAAAGGCTTTGGAGAGCCCTTGCTGTTGTTTTCCCCCCGACGTTTTTCCGGGGTCGGCACACCTGACACGATTTCGATGTCTCCATGTTTCAGGACCTGGAGTCCTTGTCCATGGGGAACATCGTCCTGGTGGACGACCAGCGGGCCAACTTCCAGAGTCAGTTCGGCGCCGCCATCCTGCGCTACTGCAAGGCGCGAGCGAGTGGCGAGTTTTCGGGTGGCCGATTCCGATTTCGGCGCCGAGTCCCTGTGGTCAGAAAGTGCGGCTGGGGCCGCCTGCTGATCTGTTCTGCTCAAGGGATGCCCGTTGGGGCCTCCAACTTTGACGACCCCCACATGGCAACCGGAACATGGCTGAACAAAGCGGCTGAAATGCTCACCATGCTCTTGCGCCAGGTGGCTCGCTATGACGCGGACCTCTACTACGACATGCGGATGGTGAAGCACTTTGGCAAGAATGCTCGATCCCAAATGCACTCAAACAGGGTGGCCTGTTTCCCCATTTCCCAGGATCGGTGTGGATCTTCAAAGAGCCGGGCATGCTTGCAAAAGCTAGGGCACCCGGGAAGCGTCAAACGGTGAGCCCATTGAGATTTTTTTGGTTTGGGATACACGCCCGGGCCGAAAGGGGGCCGGAGAGGTTAGGCATCCACACAATTCGGATCATAGGCCCACTTCCTGTAAGTACGAGCTCTACAATGCAAGAGCAAAAACCAGGGGACTCGCACATTCTCCAGGAGTTGGAGGGGAACCTGCGGTCTGAGCGCCGAGGAACATGGGGGGCATCGGGGCGCACCACGACGCGGACTACGACACTCTGAAGCGCTTTGTGGAAGACCCCTGGATGTGCAAGGAGACCCTGCAAGTGAGGCGTGGATGCTTTCGGCTTGGGATCTTAGGGTTAAGGGGTCGTGGTCAGCCGTGCTTCCCATGGGAAAATGCACCCTTTTGTTGAATTTAACAGTATCCAAGGATTTGTTCGAGGGTGCCCTTTCAAAAGGTTGGGAAGGGAAGTCAATGTCAAAATAGATGGGACCGCTCTGGTTTCCCTGTAAAGATCGCAGAAATAGGCTTGGGATGGGTGCGTGTTGGGTTGGTTGGTCAGTCCAGGAGGCCGTACCCCCAGCATCACCAGCATCATGTGGAGAAGTGCGTGCTGTGTAAGTCGTTTTTTAGAATCGAAGCCAGCCGGATGTTGGTGATGCTGGGGATGCTGCCCGTTGAAAGGCTGGCTTGCAAGAGTGTTTGACTTGAGGGGAACTGTGAGTGCGCGCAACATTGTCTGATGATCATGACTTGCTCGGACAAATATATGTGTGCACCTGTTTTTCTGAAGTACCCCGTACCCCATTTATCCGGCCTTTGTCGCACTAGGACAATGGCATGTGGTGGGGCGGTTGGATGAAAAGGTGTGGCAAATCTCAGTTTCTTTCAGTTTTGAATGCGCTTGCTGTTCTGCTCTCGAAGCACGTTGTTTGCTTCGACCTTGATTTGTGAATGTCCCATTTGTGAATCACTTTCTTTTTTCTGCAAATCTAGAAAACCTGGAGAGTTAGAGTTCATGCAAAAGCTCGCTCATTTTCCCTGTAAATTCCTGGAGGGTTTT